CTTTAGTCTATGCTAAATTTACCTGGGGATATGTACTTGGGAAAAGGCCAAGCATAACTATCTCTTTCCTTTGCCTTACCCTTCCCCATTCCCAGAGTCATCTGTACTTCTTTCTATGTTAGCTTTATTCTGTGATCAGATTTTCTCAGTGTACTACCTCCTAGGAAGATGGCCACAATGAAGTGTCCAGATTTGTATTCTGTAGGCCTACTGTAACTGCAGTAGAAATAGGAACTTCTCTCAACCTATGTCCACATATTGGTTTAGGGAATAACTCGGGTGCTGTTTATGTCATATATCTAGCTTTAAGCTAGTTGTATTGCTAGGGATATGGGGAGCTCATTGGCCAACTTATGTCATCTGTAGCTAGAAAAGTAATGCCTCTAGATTGATAAAGCCTCTCTAATGACATGTGGATTTCTAGAGAGAGGCAAGTTCCCAGAGGAAATAGGGGCACTGGGTAACTAAACAACAAATATCAATTATGCACATTAAGACAAGTATTTTCTTCCTATTGTGTTTTGGGTCAATAAGATGTCTCTTAAGGACTATCAGTGTGATTGAAGGATTGCACAGTTTTCAACTTTGAACAATGTTGGACCAAAATTGATTTTACTTTAAATGCTGACATCTATTATTTCTCAATGGTAGGTATATTGTATGGATGGATATATTATAATAGGTACAATTATATTTTCTGTTCCTTTTAAAAATATTTCATAACTTTAATAAAAGACCAAAAATCAAATTGTGATCTGGGTCAGTAAGATTAATAATAATAGATATTTTGATTATAATTCCCTGTAATATTAAGTGAGCTATAAGAAATGATATCTCATTTAACCTAGTAATCCATGATATTTTAAAGGATTTGTGTTAGGAAGATAAATTACTGAGGGTTTTGTTGTTGTTGGGGTTTTGTTTTTTCCCCAATGATATGAAAAAAAATTTTTTCCCTCTTACATATATTTATACTGTAGGTACCTGCAAGGTGTGGAGTTACAGTACGAGACAGTCTAAAGAAAGCACTGATGATGCGAGGTCTTATCCCAGAGTGCTGTGCTGTTTACAGAATTCAGGATGGGTATGGTTTGTATGTGTTGTGAAATTTTGTTACAAAGAAAATCAGACATTAAACTTTGGAGTTTTCTGTAGGATCTGTACCCAAACCTAGGGGATTGAAAAGCAACTTTAGGGGAAAATGTTTTAATTAGTACTGAGTTAATTAATTTTGTGTTAACTATGATATTTGTTATTCTAATCAAATGACTTTATTGGAGTTTGAGATTTTTTGGATTTTTCAACCATAGAATGAGATTTACTTGGATAATGAATCCTTATACACTACCTCATTTTTTTTTTCTTTTAGTACCGGGAATTAAATCCAGGATACTTGACCACTGAGCCACATACCCAGCCCTTTTTTATATTTTATTTAGAGACAGGGTCTTGCTGAGTTGCTAAGTGTCTCACTAATCTGCTGAGGCTAGCTTTGACCTTGAGATCCTCCTGCTTCAGCCTCATGCTCCACCATGCCCAGCTCCACTCCCTCATTTTTAATACAAACTCATACTCTCAAAAAAAGTTGGTGTACCTAACTGTTCTTCTATTAATAGCATTTATTTAAATTTTTATATTTTCCAAAATTTAAATTTGCTGGGATTATAGGCATAATCATGCTCCACCATGCCCAGCTGCACTCCCTCATTTTTAATACAAACTCATACTCTCAAAAAAAGTTTATCAAAATTAACATTTTATATTAAACTTTTTCTTTCAGAAAGTATCTAACATTGTTCTAAGACTCTCAGATTTTGAATCCAAATTTTCAATCATGTTTTGGAGGGCATATGGTGCCTCTTTTTCTCTGAATAGATAAGTCCATACCTTTGATTTTTTTTTTTTTTTTTTTTTTGAGGGAGAAGACAGGAACAATCAATTTTTTACTGTTGTATGTCTTTTCTGGAAAAGAGTACATCTCTTTACCCTGCTATATGTCTAAGAGTGATACATTATTTGGGATAAACTTAAAAATTTATTGCCATTTAAATTTCTGAAGATTGAATACCAGGGAGCCAAGCCTCCCAATTACTAGCCCCTCAATAACCAATTTTCGTATCTTCAGCATTAGGCATGTGAGTATTTTTAGGTACAGTAACCAAGAAAGACTTACGTCTATATTTTTCAGAGAGAAGAAACCAATTGGCTGGGACACTGATATTTCCTGGCTTACAGGGGAAGAATTGCATGTAGAAGTGTTGGAAAATGTTCCACTTACAACACACAACTTTGTATGTACCTTTACATTTTTGGCATTTCAAAAATGTTCAAGTTCTTATGAATGTATTTTTATTGAGGAATATGAAAATGGTTGACTCACTTTGTGTTGACATTTTACATAAGTTGAAAATTTGTTCTTTAAACTTTTGTTTAAAGAGGTTTATTTTCATCCTGATTTCTTTTTAACTTAAAAAGAAACACATGTCTGTTATTAAGAGAAAAAATTGGAATGCTGCAAAAAAGTATATGAATTAAAAAAATGAAAATTCCCCCTCCTACAGGACAACATTTGTATAGACTAAATGGGTAACTGAATACACAAACATATGCCTATAACTGTAAACCCAGAGTTTTCTCCTTTCTCATTTTTTTTCTCCTGCTTCATTACTTTCCATGCTCTGGTGATATTCCTCACCTTTTTTTATTTATTTTTTTTATTCAACAGGATATTATAGACTAAATTATGTCATTACACTTAGCTTTATTTAACAATTGCATAATAGTTCATAGGAATAGAAATTTGGTATACCTAACCGTTCTTCTATTAATAGCATTTATTTAAATTTTTATATTTTCCAAAAACCTGTTATATACAGGGCTCAACAGAATCTGTATACACATTTGTGTAAATGTTTTTGAAGACTATAGTGATGAAAGTAGGAGAGAAATAGCTGGATACTGAGCTTCTCCCTCAGTCTTTTCCCTATCTGCTTTTTGCATTTGCTCGAACCTCACATATGCTAAATGTTACAGTGTGTGGCCTTCCACTAATTTACTGTACATACATAGTTATGCTTAAATTCCAGATGAAGCATAAGCTGTGAACCAGAAGAAAGATAGATCTTCCTGTGCCCATCTTATTGACAAAAGGTATCCTTATAGATCCAAACATGTTGCTTAAAATTTATGCTCAAATGCATATTCACATATTTTCTCCCCCTCAGATGTTTTCCTTCCCCCATATATCCCTCCCTCTTACTTCTCTTCTCTCATTTTCCTCCTTTATGTGCACAACCAACCAGTTATACATAGTTTTAAAATATAGTTTAATAGGGAAGGAAGGGGAGATAGGAATAGGAAAGACAGTAAAATGAATTGGACATAACTTTCCTATGTTTATATGTGAATACACCACCAATGAAACTCCACATCAAATACAACCACAAGAATGGGACATTATACTCCATGTGTGTATGTATAACATGTCAAAATACTCTCTACTGTTGTGTATTTATGAACAAATTTAAAAGAAAATACATGTATATACATACATACACACACACATATAATATATGGTTTAATGATAGGAATAAAAGCAGTTGAGTAGTTTAATGAAGGAAGAGGAAATTGAGGGCTTCATGAAACAGTAAGTTATCAGGTAACTGAGTATGTGTGGTGAGCAAAAAGAATCAGATGACTGAAAAATATTGATACTTTGAAAACATACTTTTCTTTGCTATTTGCTGAAGTTCTGCCAGAAGTGTAAAAGATGCTTAGTTTGGTAAGTAATGGCTGCAGAAAAAATAGTAAAGAAGATATTTTAATTTCTTATCTAACCAGAGACAAATGGAAAAGGAACAAAGCCAGAAACAAGAATTTGGCTTTTTCATATCCCCTAGAAAGTGACACATAGGGGGAAAAAGTTGAAGAAAACAAATGTCACTTTTAAAACTGTATAAATGTTCTCAAAAAGGATTGTGTGTCAGAATATAATTTTTTTGATGAAATACTTTTTAAATTACTTCCATTAATGTTGATTGAAAATAATGTTGGTATTAGAGTCAATCTAATGTATTGTGAAAAGCATCTGTATCTAATAGAATAGATTCAGAAATTCATTACATATCCAGGTAAGTATTATTAAGATTACAGGTATATACTGGGTCATAAGGTAAAATATATTTATTACTATTATTTGTGATTGAAATTTTGAAAAACTGAGATGATTGAGAATTTACAGCAAAGAATAAGATAGGAGTCATCCATACTCTTGACACTCTGAAATAGTCATTATTAAGAGTTTTGTATTTGTGTGTCCATCTTATGTTTTCTATTCATTGTATACTCAAAACATGTACATTTTAAGCAATTCTATCTTTGGTAAGATGGATTTTCCCTAGCAGAGTTTTGTTTTTGTTATCCATGTTATATATCACTTGCCTTTTGACAGAGAATTTTTATATATTGCCTTTTAAGTTTGGTGTAAATAAATATTCACTAATAAGTTTAAATTGCCTGAATATTCTAATCCCCCAACAATTGATAGTTTGTAAAAGTATTTTTTATTGCTGTGTGTGGTGGCCCACTCCTGGAATACCAACAAGGGAAGCTAGCTAAGGCAGAAGTATCTTAGCTTTGAGATCAAACTGGGCCACACAGCAAGACCCTGTGACCAAAAAATAATTTTTTAAAAATTTGTATTTAGATGATTTTCTTATCCCTCATCCAAATTAGTTCTGATTTTCATATGCTAGTTTTTGTCTTTTATAAATAATTATTTTATATTTGTACCCAAATGGTACATGTATATGCTTTAAAAAAGTACAGAGGTGCCAGGCACAGTTGCACATGTTTGTAATCCCAGTGACTCAAGGCTAAGCAGGAGGATCACAAGGTCAAGGCCAGCCTCAGCAAGTTAGTGAGACCCTGTCTCAAAAAATAAAAAATGCTTGGGATAGAGCTCAGTAGTAAAGCACTTCTAGGTTCAATCCCCAGTACCAAAAACAAAATAAAAGAAGTGCAGAGGTGCTTATAATTAATAAGTATCTGTTGCCCCATCCCTTGCTAGCTTCTAATGCTGGTTATAAATTTCACCAGCCGTGTTTTCACTGATGTACATTAATTATAATCAACTTCAGAAAGTTACTTTTAAAAAAAAAAAAATCTCTGTGCACTATTTGACATTTAAAGTGTAGTTAGAAAGTAACATGTAGTGTACAGCATTTCTGTCTCAAGTTGTATTTCTGATTTAGCTGTACATTATATATATTATCTTTTAATTAAAACACCCTAACCCATAGAAATCACTTTTTGGTAATTTTTAGAAGAAGTGTCATTTCAGTTAAGCTAATCATTTTATTTTTGAACCACAGGTGATAGGTTCTGATTCTTTCACCTATTTTTTAAATCATCTTTATATTCTCTCACTCTTCCTTTCCACTTCTTCTCTCCTTAACCCTCTCCAGAGGAGACTACTGTTCATTTTTAATAGTTTGTTTTGAGCTCATTGGATAACTGCTGTCATATCACTAAATATTTTTTAGCCAGTTTCTTGCTTTGTCAAGTTTAGATACCAGCATTGCACTCTTCTCCTTTTCTCTCTCTTTACTTTTTAAATTTTTCTTCTTCAACTGGGCATCTTTTTATTTTTATTTATTTTTTTTTTTTTTTGGTACCAGGGATTGAACTCAGGGGGTACTTGACCACTGAGCCATATCCCCAGCCCTGTTTTGTATTTTATTTAGAGATAGACTTTCACTGAGTTGCTTAGGAACTTACAGTTGCTGAGAGTGGCTTTGAACTTAAGATTCTCCTGTCTCAGCCTCCCAAGCCACTGAGATTACAGGAGTGTGCCACCGTGCCTGGCCTCCATTGGACATCTTTGTAACTGGTGTTCTTGTTTCATCAATACCGGTCAGCATTCCTTCTCACTCCTCTTTGTACAGTAATTAAATTATACCCTTCTTTCTCCATCATTTTTCCTTTATTCTCTCATTTTCTGCCTCTATATTTATGTTGTCAAGCTGAAATCTTTTACTAGTCTTTTGTTTCTCATTCTTCTTGACTTCTGAGTTTTTAATTTGGGTGTTGGGATAGAAGATAAATGCATGTTGCCCATTACTATCTTTTTACTGGGGGGTAGTACCCAGGGTTGAACTCAGGCACTCAACCACTAAGCCACATCCCCAGCCCTATTTTTGTATTTTATTTAGAGACAGTGTCTCACTGAATTGCTTAGTGTCTCACTTTTGCTGAGGCTGGCTTTGAACTCACAATCCTCCTGCCTCAGCCTCCCAAGCTTCTGGGATTACAGGCATGTGCCACCATGCCCAGCCCATCTACTATCTTGAACCCTCTGGTTTTCATGTTTATATTTTAGAATGTAAGTTTTTATGATATAAATGTATTAAGACTTTGTTAAATATGCTAATTTCTAAAAGGGTTCTTTCAAGCTTTTGAAATTCTCTGCTTTTTTTTATTTTGTAGGTACGAAAAACTTTTTTCACCTTAGCATTTTGTGACTTTTGTCGAAAGCTGCTTTTCCAAGGTTTCCGCTGTCAAACATGTGGTTATAAATTTCACCAGCGTTGTAGTACAGAGGTTCCACTGATGTGTGTTAATTATGACCAACTTGAGTAAGTAATCCAAAAGAACCTCTCTTCTGTGTACCATTTTACATTTAAATTTTCATATTATAAAACTAGTTGTCTTGAAAGTCCATGAAGGATTTTCTGTCCAGTGTAGTTTTTACAAGGAACTTTTTAAAGTATGATTAGAGAATAGCTTGTAATGTACAATAACATGGAAATGCCAGAACTTCTTTCCCAAATTGTAGTTCTGGTTCAGCTATACATTTTATTTATATTTATATTCTCTTTTAATTAATAAAGACCCCTAGTCCATAGAAATCATTTTTGGATAGTTTGTGGGAAGAGACCTGATGGGTCATTTCAATTAAGTTGACCATTATAGTTTGAGGTCTAATCTGTGATTTATTTTGTGAACTACTTTTATATTCTCTCTTTCTCTCCCCCTCCCCTTTTCTCTCTCCCTCTCTTTCCCCCCCACTTTGTGCCTCCTTCCCCAGTTTATTTAAAAGTAAGATATAAAATCTTCATACCCAGTTTATTCCTTCCTAAAATTTCTTTTCGCTTTATGCTGGAGTTTTTCTAATAGATTAGTCCGAATCTGTTATAATCTCTTTTCTGTCATTATTATTGTTTCTTCTGTTAAGGTCTTGTATATTTCCCGATCACTTCCTGAGCAAATAGTATTTAACTCCATACTTTAAAGTAAATTATAATAATATAATCTAATTTAGCAATAGATACTTGTTCTTCTAATTCTTTAACTATGAAGCATGATTTTTCCCCTTCTAATATGTAGAAATTTGCTGAAAAGAAAAATTAGTTATAGATTCTGAGCTTGTCTTTGAAAACACAATGTAATATTTTTAATAAGTCTTTAGACAAAAATACAACTAATTAAAATTTAACAATTATTTCTCAAAGTGGAATTTGATCTCATATTTTCCCAATAACTATGTATTCTGATGTACTGAAGCTTCTGGGTTTTGCACAAGTTAGGTTTGTTTTGTTTTGTTTTGTTTTTGCCTCACAGTTTGCTGTTTGTCTCCAAGTTCTTTGAGCACCACCCAATACCACAGGAGGAGGCCTCCTTAGCAGAGACTGCCCTTACATCTGGATCATCCCCTTCTGCACCCCCCTCAGACTCTATTGGGTATGATTTGACTCCTGCTGTTCAGTGACATGCTATATGAACTGCCTTCTAGCACTCGAATTGGTAAATTAAGGAATTCTCTTTTCAAATAACTTATTTTATCTCATCATTAAGACATTTGCATGCATTTGGTACACAAGTGGGATTAAATCTGGTTGTAGACTTTCAGAACCAGATCTGAAAAAAATCAGACAACAGATAATTTTTAGATAATATTAGATACAGAACTATATTACTTTCTTTTATAAAAGTTGCATTAGCATATAAAACATTAGCAAATAATTTAAAGATAGCATAGTATTGTAATAAACAGTTTCCAAGAGTATGTTAAATTGTGAAATGAGGATAGGTATTTTCATGTTAAGAAAAGGGAGAGTAGTATAAGAGAGAATGCTCAGGAAAACTAATGGAGAAGATGGGATTTGAACTAGACCTTAAAGAATGACTACAATCTGAGTAAACTTAGGAAATAAAAGTATGGTGATAGGGAATAGAGAAAAAACATAAATGAAAGGAATGAAAGCTGATCACAGTGGCACATGCCCATAATCCCAGCAGTTTGGGAGGCTGAAGCAGGAGGATTGCTAGTTCCAGGCCAGCGTAGGCATTAAAAGGGTTGGGTATGTAGCTCAGTGATAAAGCACCCCTGGACTTAATTCCCAGTGCCAAAAAAAAAAAGGAATAAAAATGGCAGGATTAAGACCTAGCAAAGAAAGACTTATCTTGAGAAGTGCCAAGTATAAGACCAGATAGTCTTGGAATTTAAACTGGAATTTATTTGACACATGAAAGGGACAGGGCTGGGTTTGTGGCTGCCAACTAGGTAGTAAAGACTGAGAAGCAACGAAGACCTGAACTGGAGTGGGAGAAGGTATGGATAGTCTTACAGTGCAAAAGAAAGAAATTAATAGTATCGTTAGTTGTAGAGGACAAAGCAAAGACTTTAAAAACAGTGCCAAAGTATCTTATATTTAAGATTCATAGTAGATGGGCTGGGATTGTAGCTCAGTGGAGCGCTTGCCTTGCATGTGTGGGGCCTGGGTTCAATCCTCATCACCACATAAAAATAAATAAATAAAAATCAAGATATTGTATCCATTTACAACTAAAAAAAATTTAAAAAAAACGATTCATAGTGGAAAAAAAGAGAGACCTGGTGTTGTTGAGTTAAGTGGGTACTAGTAATTGGCTCTTACTCAAGTCTGCTTACTCTTTTCCTACTGGATTTGAGATGGCATTGTGTATGCTTATATCTGGAAGCATATAAAAAAAAAGTTTCTATAGAATATCCCAGAGAAATTTAGTTCAGAAATATTGTCAGTTTTTACCCTACTACCTCCCACTCTTCACAATGTGATATTTCTCTAGACTTCTATATAGATAAAAATAATCATAAGTTGACACTTCTAATAGACCTATAATTTTTGTGAAGCCAACCTTCCTGGAGGTCTCATAGGTTAGAAAATTTAGCAAAGAATTTTATGTTAATGAGTGGGTGTATTTGTCCATTTGGAACAACAGAAAATGCAACCACTGTGTTCTTTTGTCAGGTTATAACAATTCTTTGAACTCATTTTATTCCTACTGCTCTGCCATTAGTTGTGTGCAGCTCTGTGGGTTTTTTAAGACAATAAAGTAAAAATGTTTTTATTGTGTGTTTGGGTTTTTAATTAATCCTTTGGCTATGACATTTTCTTCTGACAGAGTCTATAGACCATGATGACTTTCTAATGAGAGGTCCCAGTTCTTTGAGCAGAGTTACAGAACACCATAATGAAATTATCTTGGCCTCTCTGAAGGTTTGCAGTGGTAACAATTCAGGAAGGAGTGCTGTCTTAAGAAAACATATGCCTATGCCACAAGTATTTTATTCATAACTGAAGTAGATTCTGGTCTTGAGCAAATGAATAAGATGTTCAAACTTATTTAAATCATTTTCTTGATGCTTTTATGTCATGGTGTAGATGGTTGCCTCTGTATGGTCATATTCAGTATTGGAACTCAATTGCATTTTGTTTTTAGTCTTGATATAACAGTCATAATGATCATAAAGCAAGTGTCATAACAGATGTAATCAAGAAATTTTGGAAAAGTGATATATTACACAATTTTGGTAAAAAATTAGAGATGCCTCTTTTCTACTTCTTAAAAATGCTTAAGAGTGTATACATTTAGGAAAAGCCAACATTTAAAATTTGCATATCACTGAACAAAATTAATTACTTTGCTTCAAAATTTAAATATTCTAGCTTGAAAATTAGGTCTGACTTATTGGTAATATACTACACAGTGCTAAAATTTTTTATTTTAAACTTGGTACCACTTTAAAGAAGTTTGCAGCAGGGTAATGTAACATTGTCATTGAATAAAACCCAGCTGGATGTCTGCCAGGGTACTTCATAGGGTATAAATTACCTTGGTCCAGGTAAAGATTTCCCAGATATGGAAGCTCAATTTTATCCATTCCCAGAAATGATGAGAATATTAATACAGGAATATACTGATTTACATTAAACAAAGTCAGAACAGACTGCATCAGAATATCCAGTAATTCTTTCTGTAAGAAATATGCCTGTTATATAAATCAGGCTTCTTGTATTGGATGGGCTGGCATTCTTTCAGAAGATATTTATAGGAAACCAAATTATGATGGTTTTGTCAAGCATGGAATTAGTACAGAGTACTAATTTTAATACTACTTATAGACCGATTTGATTTAAAGTTTCAGGGCAAGCACATACTTTTTAAATTTTTTTTTAATTATACATGGACACAATATCTTTATTTTGTTCATTGATTTTTATGTGGTGCCGAGGATCGAACCCAGTGCCCCACATGTGGGAGGCAAGGGCTGTGCCACTGAGCCATAACCCCAGCCCAAGCACATACTTTAAATCAGGTCTTAAAACTGGAAAAAGCCCAAATAACCTAGAACTGTATAGGTTAGTCTAATCAATGCTATAATTGATCCGGTATGGGTAGAAGTGGCAAATCATTCTTGAAACTTACTGAGTTAGGACAATGACAGAAACATATCGGATGACAAGTCAGAGATATACATGCAAAGAATATGATCCAGAGGCAATATAAGATATTTAATACACCAGGATATGATAACTTGAGGTATTGTCCAAAATTGCAATGTATACCTGTCCTCAAGACTAGGTGACTGTGGATCAAAACACACCTTCCCTTCCAGGTGATATTAATGTCTTTGATTTTATATAATTGGCAGTCATTCTCTTTTTCTATCTGTTTGGTACTGGGGATTGAACCCCAGGGCACTTTACCACTGAGCTACATCCCCAGTTTTATTTTATTTTATTTTTATTTTTTATTTTGAGACAGAGTCTCCTAAGTTGTTGAGGGTCCCATTAAGTTGCTGAGGCTGGCTTCAAATATTCAGTCCTCTTCCCTCAGCCTCCCAAGTCATTGACAGGCTTGCACCACCACACCTGGATATTCTCATTTTCTAATATATACATTCTTTTCTTTAGATATGATAATGAAACTTGCCAAATTAAATTCAGGATTTTTTTTCTTGCCTCTGGATCATATTCTTTGCATACATATCTCTGATTTGTCATCCAATATGTTTCTGTCATTGTCTTAACTAAGTTTCAAGAAAGATTTACTGCCACTTCTGCCCATACCAGATCAATTATAGCATTGCTTAGACTAACCTATACAGTTCTAGTTAATTTGGGCTTTTTCCAGTTTTAAGACCTGATTTAAAGTATGTGCCTGGGCTGGGGTTATGGCTCAGTGGCAGAGCCCTTGCCTCCCACATGTGGATCACTGGGTTCAATCCTCAGCACCACTTAAAAGTCAAAAAACAAAGATATTGTGTCTATGTATAATTTTTAAAAAATTTTTAATAAAGTATGTGCTTGCCCTAAAACTTTAAATCATCAGTCTATAAGTAGCAGTTAGGTGTCAGTTCACTTTCCAGGTTTTTTGTTATGTTCATTGTTTTGTTTTGTTTTAACTAATGTAATTTTTTCATTGTTTTACTTCTCTCACAATTCCTTAGCAAAGGGCATATATTTGTAGCCTAAGGCAAGAAATGGGATGGCTCTGTCACAAACCAAATATTTCTCAATAACCAGAAAGCATAAAAAGGACCCAAGTGAAACATGCTAATTTTCCCAAAATTTAGTTCCATAAGTCTTGCCTATAATTAGGCTGATAATAATTTTTAGTACCTAATGTCTTATTATTTATATATCAGTTATATATGAATTCATGTAATTAAAATGAGCATGCAAAGTCAAAAATTTTCTCCTATCCTTAATAATTGTGCTTATTTGTGTGCTCAGAGAAGTAAGGATGTAAAAATGAGAATTTATACCCCATTTGATTCAAATGTATGATATGTCAAGATCATTGTATTGTCATGAGCAACTAATAAAAAAAAGCAAAATTAAAAAAATAAAATAAAAAAGAGAAGTAAGGATGTAAACTGGCATGGTTCAGATTCTGTTGACATTTTATTTGGAGGATTTTGTCACTACTGAACTTTCTTTCCTTTTCAAACTTTTATCCATTTCTTTTCCTTCTATATTTTCTTACCATTCCTCTCCAAACCCTCTCCTGTCACAAAATGCTTTATTCCCTCATCATTGCCTTTCTTGGCCTAATAACTACTAAATAATGCTGATCATTTAGAGAGCTTTCATAAGATGGGTGGAATGATAACAAATATAGGTAAAGAGCTTATTAGCATTTCATTGGTCCTGATGGTGGAGTTCAGTGAGACAGCCGCATCTTCTACCAAGTGATCCTCCCTGCTCCTACTGTAGATATCTTTTCTGAGGAACATATTCTTCTTACAGGTGCTATGGTCTATCCTCTGAATTTTAGGGTTTTTGTGTCAAGTTTGTTTTAGGGCCAGTGAAAAATCATACTTCCTTATTTATCTACAGTATCAAAGTAGGTCACCCTGTAACCTATTTTGGTGGTCTGATTAAAAACCAGTTTTTAAAAAATAAATGCTTTAATCTTTATGATTCTCTTGTGTCTTTGATATCAATCATTGGGAATGATAAAAATTTCAAAATGAGAAAAGTCCTGGCACTGTGAAGATCATCTTCTGAATTTGGAAATGATCTTTTGATATTGTTTAGAATTTTCGTACAACTTAGGTGTTTGGCAGCAGGTACATTTTTCAGGTCCTGAAGTATACAGATTACATTCCCAAAATATTTATAACTTCCTAATATTGTTCATAAATTTTTTCATTTAAATAATTTCAGCTCTCAAGAAATGCAAAGTTAGAAAAAATAGATTTTATTCAATCTCTTAACTAGATCATTTTTCTACTTTAAAAAGAAGACCCTCTTCTTCAGCTGATTAATCATTGGTGTTCTTGTTGATATTTCCTGAAGGTTCTGCTTGAACATAGCAACTTTGGCAGTTCTAGTTGTAGGTCTATTAGTCCTCTTTAATGTTTCTTATAAAGCTATTTCAGCTGGAATGTCAGTGCTTTATTTTAAAGATTTTTCTGATAAACAGAAAATCTTTATATCTTTCATTATTTAATATTATTGTCTCTGTATAGTTGCTCTTTATCTTATCTTTCAATTACTTGATTTTTCCAGGCCCCAAATTCTCACCAGTCCGTCTCCTTCAAAATCCATTCCAATTCCACAGCCCTTCCGACCAGCAGATGAAGATCATCGAAATCAATTTGGGCAACGAGACCGATCCTCATCTGCTCCCAATGTGCATATAAACACAATAGAACCTGTCAATATTGATGTAAGTATATAGCATTGCTAGAACTGAAATTTCAGGTCTGCTTCTTTATTTTCCTGTTATAATTATAAGGTAGATCAGAAACAAGTGCCATCTTTCATTTATCATTTATTTTAAATACTGGGCTTTATATGAATCACAGTTCAAAAAAGCCTGTCATCTTCTCTGATGATATTAAATACTTCACTGGTGCCAAACTAGAGTTACTCTGACATTTTCCTTAATAACACTATCCCTGTAAAAGTTTTATCTTCAAATGAAAATAGTGTAAATATCAAAAGGATTGATAGAGGTCCTTGGGAATGCATGAACTTCTCTAAAATTCTTATAAAATTGATTATGATTATGCTGTAAAAGTTACATATGAAATTAACAGTTTCAGATGGTACTGCCATAAGCTTGGCATTCTAACCACAAAACTTGATTCTTTGTATGTTTAAGAATTAGTGTAGGGCTGAGGTTGTGGCTCAGCGGTAGAGCGCTCGCCTAGCACGTGCAAGACCCTGGGTTCGATCCTCAGCACCACATAAAAATAAATAAACAAAAATAAATGTATTGTGTCCAACTACAACTAAAAAAAATAAATATTAAAAAAAGAATTAGTTATAGTTGAAACTATAAGTTAAATTTTATTAAATGTTAAAAACAAAAACTTTATTACAAGCTGGGTATAATGGCTGTAATCCCAGCAGCTCAAGAGGCTGAGGCAAGAGGATTCCAAGTAAAGGGCCAGCCTCAGCAATTTAGTGAGGCCCTAAGCAACTTAGTGAGAACCTATCTCAAAATGAAAAGGACTGGGGATGTGGCTCAGTGGTTGTAAGTGCTGCTGGGTTTAAAACCCAGTACCAAAAAAAATAAATAAACCTTTATCATAAATTTTAATTTCATCCAAAAATCAGACTTTCTTCCCATATTTTACTATAAAACCTTTTCTCCATTGGTGGTTCAAGTAAGTGGCTTTCCTCTTGTGCCATTTTTCCTTAACTAGTAAATAGGGGAGGAAAATATGGGAATAAGGAGATTGTGAAATAAGAAATCAAACTATATTTCTTATCTCGGTTTGTTCTCATTGTATCCAAAATTTTAATCTTCATCTTTACTACTTTTGAGGGGGCTTGTGGGGTGCAGGGTATTGAACCCAGTGGTGTTTAACCACTGAGCCACATCCTCAAACCTTTGTTTTGTTTTGTTTGAGAAATGGTCTCGCTAAGTTGTTTAGGGCCTCACTAAGTTACTGAGGCTGGCCTCCAACTTGACAATCCTGCCTCAGCCTTTTGTTATCTTTACTTTTAAAACTAACGTCCTTTTAAATTGTTTCTCTTATTCTCTGCTTGTGACTACTAGTCTCCTGATCTCTCATAATTGAACTTTCAAAGTGTCACTCTGTATCTTGCCTTTTCCTCTTTCTCATAATCAGCCATTACCTTTTCCTTTTCATGTGTGTCTCAAACTGGTTCTCACTTATTGCCACCACCATTTAAATTTATATTGCCCGCTTGAAGTACTTACTACATTTATCTCCTAAATGGATTTCCTTCCATTGATTTATCTATACTATCATCAGGATAATTTTCATAACACATTTATCATCCTCTCTTACTGTATTCTAAAACTTTCAGGGGATGGAGTTGTAGCTCAGTGAAAGAGCACTTGCCTAGCTTGTGTGACGCACTATGTTTGATTCTCAGCACCACATATAAAAAAATAAAGGTCCATCAACAACTAGAAAATATTGAAAAAAAATTCAGTGATTTACCGTTGATTACAAGATAAAGTATGAATTTCATTCATGTTCAGTCACCTGTTATCCCACTAAAAAGATGTACTTTTGACTCTGAGCTAGGCAATTAGTAATTAAGGATGAATTGGGACATGGTCTTTGCCTTTAAAGAAGTCACAGTTTTAGTGGATGAATCAGAGATACAAATAAATAACCACAAAATATCTAATGAGAGTTTAGAGAATAATAAACTCTATCTCATTGGATGTAGGAATATTTAGCAGAGAAAGGATAACATTGAAGCCAGATTGTAAAAGATGATTGAGTAGGAGTTTATTAAGTATACCAGGTAGGGAATTAGGAGTATGAGATATCAGCTCTAGACTTTCGAAAAAGTGGTCACATGGAGGATAGATGAATGGGTATTGCATCTAAAGGCAGAATTGTCAATAATGTGGCTTTTGCAGTATTCTAAACAAGAGCCAGTAAAAGCTGAAACTGAAGTAGTAACAATGGTGTCAAGATAGTGAGTTGAAGGAAAGGAGACTATAAATTAGTGAATTCAAGATAAGATTCCTAAGAATCTGTAAAATGGCTACTACTTATGAATGCTTACTGTGTACCAGATACTGTGATAGTGCTATAAATTAATTTTCTTGTTCTAGCCTCATATAAATTCATGGGTTAAGTACTATTATTATCTTTAGTTCACTGTTAAGAAAATTAGTATAAAGTAAGAGTGAGAGAGGATGATAAATTTACAGAGATTAAAGAGTACACCAAGACCACAACACACAGCTGATAAGTATATTTGAACCTGGCCTTCCTTTCTTATGCTTACCCATTATACTGTATAGTAGTAAAGGAGGGAATTGAAAGAAGAGGAAGAATAGATAATGATGTCCTGCACAAGCTGTGAGGAATTAAAGATGGATGGATATAGCTCTCTACAAACTGTATGACTTTATTGTCCACCTAATAGTGCCTACCTAGACACTTCTTTTTATGCCCAGTACATAAGAATTCAGAAATTATAGCTTATGTTATTATACAAATATTTATGGATGTAAAGGCAGGACCAAAAGTTCTTCTGATGGTTTTTGTTTATCATGCTGAAGGAAAGAAATGTAAGAGAAGAAACTACAAGAGAGTGGGAGAAAGTTTGAAATAATCAGATTTGGAAACTAGAACGTCCTGTTTAACCTGGAACAAGTAAAAAGATTGTTGAGGAGTTTTAAGAACACATTTGAGACTGAAAAATGCAAGTTCATGTTGGTACTAGCTGTAGGTTGTAAGAGTGGAGAAAGCCAAATTTGGTCAGTTCATAGTTGTTGTAAGTTTCAGGGTAGATGCAGCGAAAAGAAAGGGATATGGCCTTTCTCTTATGTGTCCTTGTGTCTAGAAGGCCCTTAACTATACTCCTTTTTTCCAACCCTCCCTCAGACATTTCTTCAAATGCTTCCCCAATGATAAAATCCTTTATGTAGGACTAAAAATCTTATTGCCAAAAGCACTTGGTTGACAGTAACTTAGCAGCAAATAATATGATTAAACTAAACTTCTATAATATTTTAAGTTGTTGTAATTATATCATTTAATTTTCATGAGTGTACATTTCTCTTACAATGAGTATAAACTTTCAAAACCACAGAAAGTTAATGAAACTACCAGAATTTTGTATTTATTGGTAGCAACACCCCTAATACCTAGCACCTTGTTTGAAGTTTTATATGCGTATTTATTGATTATTCTGTAGAAAATGTTGAAGACTTTATGTGATACATTGAACATGACAGAAATATACCTATAAATAATATTCTTTGTTTTAGCTAGCAAACAAAAAGCTGCCTGTTGGCAAAGGGCCTATTTAGATACATTTGGGGCCATTCAATCCCTCACATTTAAATTAAACTGAGTAAGCAAACTAATCCAAGTTCTGCCTATCAAGGTCCAAATTGTACAACAGAGTGACTTCCCTACTACTAACACTGTTGTAACTGTATTTTAATAACAATGACAAATTTAGTAAAATTCTTATTTGAGCTATTTTGATCTTTTTCCCTCTTTTGTAGTATGTCCTTGTGTATCCATATTTTATGATGGTATTCAGTGTACTTTTAACTTTGTATTTTTCATCTTATTGTGAATATGTTTCATGATTTAATCTTCATTATTGTTTTCATGGTTGCATAATACTTCATTAAATTGATACTCCATAACTTACTTAACCATAATTTGTCAAAATGCCTATCATTGGGAAATAATTATTTCTGACTTTTTAGTATGATGGATAATGCTGCACTAAACATCTTTGTGCATATCATTTTTTCTTCTGAATTATTTCCTTAGGAAAAATTCCCAGAAGTGGAATTACAGGATCAAAGGGTATGAACATTTTTATGGCTCTTAATATGTGCCAGTAGAATTTTCTTTAAGGATTGATGAAGCCATTGGTTTTGAATGGCCTGAAATGGATTTCAGCATTTGATCAGGACTAAAAATCCTTTCAGTTATAGGGTTAGTTTGACAAGTACTTCAAAATTTAGATTTTTATCATGTCCACTAGCTAATTTCATATTCTTTGTTTTGTGAAGTAATTGTAAGACAGGTGTTATTTTGAATTAACCTTTCTATTAATGTAGAGTGAAAATTCAGTGTTGCTATTATTTTCTTACCATATGCTTTGAATAAATATACTTTACTATTTATTTGTAGGACTTGATTAGAGACCAAGGGTTTCGTGGTGATGGAGGTAAGTAGTGAGTTCAGTTTAAAAAAAAAAAAATGCTCAGGAAAAAATGCAATTGCTTTGCTGCTTATCTCCTTTATACTTGCTTCTTTCATGAAACACAGACACAGAGAAAAATAAGTAGCGAAAACCCAAATTTTTGTAGTATTTATCATTTATTGCTAATTTTAACTAATTCTTGACATGAATGGGAAATGAGAAAACACAAAAGGTAGTCTTAAATGTACCCCTGTAACTTAAATATTGCATCAAGAAGAGATCCTTAATTATTTTAACCACTTCGTTAACTTCTACCTCTCTTAAATGGAAATTGATAAATTTCCTTTGGGGTCCTCCATTCATACTTAAAACTTGATTTTGCTAAATCATGACTTGGATTGCCTGCCAGAGCTCCTTAGTTTGTCAGACACTTCCCTTCAACTTTCTGGAAGTGTTTGAAATGTACCTTTTATTGAATAGCTAGCCCAGAATGGAAAAGCTTACCCTTGGATTAGTCTAGTTAATAAAGCAAGCAAACAAGAAATTGCTGTATCTTTCAGAATTTTTATCTTAAGAAACATCGCTTAAGAAAAAACTTTTTATAAGAATTTATCCCATTTAATGTTTTCTCAGAGATGGTATTTAAGACTGCCTTGAAGTTTTCTTGCAGGAGGTCCTCTGTACTTCTCTAATAAGGAAGACCTGCAGTATCACGGACAGAGCTGGTCTCTTCATTGTGACCTTCTGTATCTTCAAAATATCTAAGCCCAGACTCAGAGATATTTTCTAAGTAAACATTGTATAAACCATCTTTTGTTATATTTCTGTACACCTATGAAGCTACCAAAATAATAAGCCTGCATTATGTACTCTGGACTTGGTATTGACTAGAGCACATAGTTATACAAAGGGTTTTTCCTTCTGTTTGTTATTCCATGAACCTGCCAATTTAATGTTGCTGCCAGTTTGACTTTCATATGTCTTAATAGCTGTGGCTTTTGATAATTTTGCCCAATACATCAAGCATTTAAATGTTGCCATCATGTTAGCATCACAGAGTTAACTTTGTCATAAACACTGCCTGCTTAGAATCTAAAATCAAGTGGCATTTCTTGTCCTTTTTATGAGTCACTTTTTAAAAAATGATTGGGATTTTATAAAAATAAGCAGGTTAAAGAAAAAAGTCCAGAATTATTTTGTGAAGCGGGCTTCAATTCATCTTATTTATTCCCCATGACTTCTTTCATTTCTTCTGTGTGTCTGTCTTCCTGTGTTTGCCTGCCCCTCTCTTTCTCTTCTAACAGCCCCCTTGAACCAGCTGATGCGCTGTCTTCGGAAATACCAATCCCGGACTCCCAGTCCCCTCCTACATTCTGTCCCCAGTGAAATAGTGTTTGATTTTGAGCCTGGCCCAGTGTTCAGAGGTAGTTGGGCTCTTCTTTCTTGTTTTCACCCAAAGCAAACTAAATATAAACTACAGATGCTGTTTGTGCCTCACCCTCACAGCGTGTGTTTGTAAGTGTGAGAGTTTTCAGTACTGAATTTCTGCTTGGCCTGGCTGGAATGCTCTGAATGTGCTTCTCACACATATTCACTACTACAAGTTTTCTGTATGTTGTCTGTCATAAATTTTTAAGAGAGAAAAAAAATCTGAGCTGAGATTTTCCATCTTGTTATTTGTTATACTATTACATCTTGGTCTTGATAACTTAAACTCAGTGGGTGGGAACAAATAAGATGGGAGGGATCTTCAATATGGATTCCTTAAATTTTAATGTAGGTGATAACTTTGATTAACTATTTGTTAACAATCTTTGTGGTTTTTAAGAAAATTAAAATATAAATGGAAACCCCTATTAAAAATATTTTTGTTAGGCTTTTAGCTTTTTTTTTTTAATTTTGTAATATCAGCAATGCGTTTTGGGTTTTGTTTTCATTCTTTGCCCCAATATGGGATGTGTATATTTTATGAAAAAATAGGGAATTGTTTTTAAAACAGAAAGATTTATCATATATTTTGGATATTTCAGAATACTTCAGAAACTCAGAGTAGTTATACTCTAATTATACCTTAATAGGAAGAAAAAGTTAGCAGTATAATTTTACTCTGCCTTTTATTTTGCCATATTTTAGTTCTTAAACTGACTTTTTAAAATTTGAAGTCAAAGTTGGTACAGATGTCTGGCTACAAATATTTTTTTTAAAGAATTATCTGGGTGCAGTGGTGTATACCTGTGATCCCAGCAATTTAAGGAGCTGAGGAAAACCTGCCTATCAAAATAAAAAAAAACGAAAAGGGCCCTGGCTAGGTCAGTGGTAGAGCATCCTACTATGTTCAACCCTAGTACTGCAAAAAAAAAAAAAAAAAAAAGAATTATATTTACTGGCTCTTGATCAATACTTTTTCAAAAAATAGTTGTAAATGGACACAATATCTTTATTTTATTTATTTTTTGTGGTGCAGAGGATCGAACCCAGTGCCTCACACATGGTAGGCAAGCGATCTACCACTGAGCTACATCCCCAGCCCCCTGTTACTTTTTTTTTTTATTAATTTTTTTATTGATATATGACAACAGAATGCATTACAATTCTTATTACACATATAGAGCACAATTTTTTCATATCTCTGGTTGTATACAAAGTATATTCATACCAATTTGTGTCTTCATACATGTACTTTAGATAATGTCCATCACATTCCACCATGTAGCAATGGTGTTTTCAGTTTTGCTCTCTCAGCCCAGCTGTTTCTCAGAAAAATCCATGAAATGGGATGGAAGTTCATCCAGTACTGAATAATATGATTAAACTAAGGAATAAAATGTTACTAAGTAGACCAGAACTGTGTCACCTGGGTAAGCGATTAAGACTATATGGTGTTGAAAATATCAATGGCAGGCAGAAAATGGATTATGCTCTAATTAAAAGACAAGTTAGACACCATTTTATTTTAGAAAACTGCCTGTGAGAGCATGGAAATTTCACATGCTATTATAGTATGATGTAACAATGGTAAAATTTCTACCCAGATTGAACTTTTTTTTTTTTTTAAAGAAAGGAAGGAGCAATGTGGGATAATCACTTAGAAAGATTAAGATATTTCTCTTGGGGCTGGGGATGTGGCTCAAGCGGTAGTGTGCTCGCCTGGCATGCGTGCGGCCCGGGTTCGATCCTCAGCACCATATACAAAGATGTTGTGTCCGCTGAAAACTAAAAATAAATAAATAAATATTCAAAAAAAAAGAAAAAAAAAGATATTTCTCTTTTTTGGTACTGGAAATTGAACCCTAGGGTGCTTTACCATTGAGCTACATCCCTAGTTCTTTTTCGTTTTTATTTTGAGACAGGGTTTCACTAAGTTACCAAGGCTGGCCTCCAACTTGCAATCTTTCTGCCTTGGCCTCCTGAGTCCCTGGTATTACCAGGGTGCACCCCTGTACCCAGCCCATATTTAACATTGAAATGTTTGGGTTTTTTTTGACATCCTTGTTCTTTGAAAGACTATGGTCTCATCTCTACCATATGAGTTGTAATCTTTAAAATATATATGTGTGTATATTCCTGAAGAATATATATAGAAATATTGCCTAGAAATCTTAGTCCTATTCAGCTGTATTCAAGCCTGACTCATTGTCCTGAGCCCCTCTGAACCAGACTTAGGATGTTTACCACTGAGTCAGTATTTGGAAATGTGCCCATCAGAAAGGTTCTAATCTTACCAACTGAGTCCACTTCCAAAGAGTACTCCTTGGGCTTACTTGGCATACAAAATATTGGCATTTGTAGTAACTTGCCTAAAAGGCCATAACATTTACTTTATACTTACTTTTAAATGCAGAGATTTTCAGAAAATTTTAAGGAAACCTACTTGGCTTTGCTTACAGTCATTTTGTTATAAAGGTAACAAAAAATCTATATTAGTCCAAAAAAAAAAAAAAAAAAACCTCCAGGAACTACTGACACTGATCAATATTTCTTAAGTAGTAAAGCTTATAGTTTGGGGTTGTATTTAAATATTAGTGGCTAATATGAACAAGCCCTATATTTTCAATATTAAGGTAACATTAGAAAATATTTCCATTTGGGGGTTTCCATATTTTTTAATATTGATTGGCTATTGAGGTAATACAATTAAAAGTTTCTATTTAAAAATGTGTTATATAGGCTTTTTAATTGACTTCACTTTTTAAATTTTTCTTCAAAGACACAAATTTTTTTTTATTAAGAGAATTTTTTTCCCTAGACTTTGGACTAGGAAAAGTTAAACCAATAATATATCTATCATTAGATGTTTTAAAACTGTAATTAAGTTGGCCAGAAAACTAAAAAAAAAATTAGTACTAATCACCAATAGGCCTCTTTTGACTTGTTTTTTTCAAAAGGTCAGTATTTGAACATATACTACATTTTAATAGCAAGTTTAAGTCCAAATCTAAGTCCCCCCTTGCACTTTGTGCACCCCCTGTTAAAGGAACTCGCTCCCTTGCTCCTCCTTAATGGATACATTTTCCCTAATTTAGGATCAACCACAGGTTTGTCTGCAACCCCACCTGCCTCATTACCAGGCTCACTCACTAATGTGAAAGCCTTACAGAAATCTCCAGGACCTCAGCGGGAAAGGAAGTCATCTTCCTCCTCAGAAGACAGGAATAGGATGGTAAGAATATTTATCTTTTTTTCACCGGAGTCCTTTCTTTTTTGAAATCAGAGCCACATAAATGTCACTTTTAGATATGTTATATCTGTATATGATAAAAAATTCCCCTGTCAAATTTAACAGTTGATTTTTGCTTAAGCATATTCCCACAACACCAATTTTCATTTTCATCTCTAATGTAAAAGGCAGTTTTGGAAGAGTAACAGTAGCATTCTGTTTCTAATAAGAAAAAAGAGCCAGGCATAGTGGTACACACCTGTAATCCCAGCTATTCAGGAAGCTGAGACAAGATAGCAAGTTTGAGGCCAGCCTCAAACAAGACCCTGTCTCAAAATGAAAAATAAAAAGGGCTGAGGGACGTGGCTCAGTGGTAAAGCACCCCTGGGTTCAAACCCCAGTACCTAAAATAAAATAAGGAAAAAAGAGTAAATAAAGTTTTGGAAAGCATGATTAAGCATACATATTCTAAAGGCTGAACTACAATTCAAAAATCTACCAAGTGACATTTTTCCCTATTTGAAAAATTAACTTTCTGCTACTTGTTGGGAAGATGATCCTTTAACCCTACCAAAGTAATTGGAGATATAGATAGATAGATAGATAGATAAATAGATAGATAGATTTTTTTTTAGAGAGAGACCAGTTCAGATCTATGAGAAAATTTAACTCTGACTAGAAAAAAGTAACTAGAAAAATTGTCTCCTGTTACTATAACATATTAGGTTAAATTTTTAGGTATTTGGAGGCAAAAACTTATCATAAATACATAATATTTATCTTGCCCTTATAGTCCTCCAAATAATACAAAACTGGTTTTTCTTATTAATTTTAATAATAGGCATTTCTCACACATACTCAATAAATAATTTTCATTTTTAAATAAATTGTTTCTATCCAAGTCTGACTTGTCTTAATTTTGTTTTGTATTTTTAGTCATATTTAAAAAAAATTTTTTTTTAGTTGTTGATAGATAGTTATTTTATTTATTTTTATGTGGTGCTGAGGATCAAACCAGTGCCTCACACATGGTAGGCAAGCGCTCTACCACGGAGCCACAACCCCAGCTCCTAGTCATACTTTTAACTATTATTTCTTCAGCTTTTGGTGAAAGAAGCGATATTATCTTCCTCATCTTGCTCCTCTCAGGCTTAGGTTAATATACTTCACATGGAACATAAGGTTTCCCCTTTTCGTTTGGTTGGCCTAACTTGACTTTTGCACTATTTTTATCAAGAAAACACTTGGTAGACGGGATTCAAGTGATGATTGGGAGATTCCTGATGGACAGATCACAGTGGGACAAAGAATTGGATCTGGATCATTTGGAACAGTCTACAAGGGAAAGTGGCATGGTATGTATGTAATATTGTTGACGTAGTCACAAGTCTCACAGTAATAGTATATGTGTAACCATTTTATTTTTAAAAATCAAAGAATACTCACTGTTTGCATCATTTTCATCAGATGCAGAAGTTCTCCCAAACTGCAACAAGAATTATGGGAAATAAAACCTAGGTTCACAGCAATCAGGACTCCTTTCATTATATTACTAATTATTTATTTATTTGTGTTTGTGTTGCTAGGGATCAAACCCAGGGCCATGCCCATACTAGACAGTTGTTCTCCCACTGAGCTATATGCCCAGCCCTTTTTATTTTTATTTTGAGAGGGTCTCATTAAGTTACCCAGACTGGCCTTGAACTTGTAGCTCTCCTGCCTCATAGTAATTGGGAGTACAGGCATGTGGCGCCCTGCCTGACTGCAGTAATAATTTTTTAAAATTAAGATTCTCCAGATTAGCTGTTCCCCAAAATCTGGGTTGGTTTCTGGTTTTTTTTGTTTTGTTTTGTTTTGTTTTGTTTTGTTTTGTTTTTTTAATACAAGCGTTTGAACCCAGGAGCTTTAACCACTGCACCACATCCCTAGCCCTTTTTTCAAATATATATTTTATTTGGAGACAGGGTCTCCTTGAGTTGCTTAGGGCCTTGCTAAACTGCTGAGGCTGCCTCAGTCTCCTGAGCTGCTGGAATTACAGGTGTGTGTCATCACGTTAAATTGACCATATTTAGAGATGTGATTGTAGTGCTGCTGGTGGGAAAATAAATTGTTACAAATTTTCTATAAGACAATTTGGCAGTATGTCTATTGAGCCATTATTTGTATTATTATAAACATTATTATTATATATAATTTGGCAATATGTATATTGATGACATCCTTAGGAAGTAATGGGACAGGAATGAATAATCATGTATAAAAGTAAATTCATTAAGATTTAGTAAGAATGCAAAATGAAAATAAAAAAAGATTAGATAAATAGATAAATAAATTGGATCCATACATGATTGTATAGGATTTTTCAAATGATATGCTAGAATTACATTTATTGATATGGAAGGTGTCTTTGGTGTATTAAATTGTATAAAAGCAGCATGTGTAATACCCCATATATTTTATATATATAATATAAAAAATTTCTATCAGAAGTTTACTATATTTCTCATTTTTTTTATATATTCATAAATATTCACCCTGCATTCATATATAAGCCTTATCATTCATATATAAAATGTCAGTGAGTGGCATTATGGTAATTTTTTTCTGGGTGCTTTCAAAATGTTTTTAAACATTGGTTTTAAGTGGTAGGTAAGTTATATGGTACCACTGATAAAATGAATGTTGTATTATATTGATAATTAAAAGAAATCAATAATATATATATAAAAGCTTAATGTACATATAAAAAAATGCATGTAAATATACAAGTAGCTGAAATCTCAAAAAGTGAATAGATAGCCATGATCAACAAACAGAACATTATTGTCATACTAGAAGCTCCCCTGATGCCCCTTTCCAGTCACTCCTCCCCCCAGGTTAGCTACCAACCTGACTGCAACAGGAATCATACAGCATGTACCCTTCAGTGTCTGGCCCCTTATGTTGTATGCAAGATTCATCTGTATTGTTGTTGGAAGTCATTCATTCTCTCTGTTAATTTTTCAATGTGTAAGCTGATTTCTTCTTCCATCTACTGTGTAATGAGCATTTGGATGGTTTCCAGTTTGGTGCTATTCCAATGATGTTGCTATGAATATTTTTTTTTATATCTTTCAGAGAACATATAAATCTATTTTTGCTGGGTATACATACCTTGGAGAAAATTGTAGGACCATATGATGTGCATATGTCCAGTTTTATAGATACTACCAGCAATATTACAAAGTGGTTGTACCAATTTTCACTTTTAGTGGTAGTGTGTAAGAGTTATGGCTGTTTTACATAAACTTTTTTAAATTAGCTATAATTTTAAACATTTTTCTAATGAAAAGCATCATAAATAATCCATAACTTTGTACATAATGTTAACTGCTCTGATAAAGAAATTTGAAGTTTTCAACTTTAAGCCAAGCTCCACTGGGACTCTTATCTCTAGTTTCAGTGTTCATTTAGTAAATATATCTCATTGAGTATTGTTAAATAATTGGAAAAATACTCTGGGTACTTACTTAAACTAAATTTCCAGGGAAAACAAGGTTGTCTATTTGGGGGTTGGTCTTTTGAAATACTAGTATAGGAGTATTGCTGTTAATTTCATTTTTATCCTTCAAAAATTAATGCAGTTTAGACAGTTAGGCATAATTTATTTGTAGTTTAACAGTGTTATGGATTTACCAATTATTATAATTAGTGGAAATCCCCAAGAATGTTTTATAGTTTTAAATTTTTAAAATTGGAATGACATTTGGAATGATGATTACCTTTTAGGTGATGTGGCAGTGAAAATGTTGAATGTGACAGCACCCACACCTCAACAGTTACAGGCCTTCAAAAATGAAGTAGGAGTACTCAGGTGAGCGTATGCAAATTACTGTTTTTAGGAGAAAGAAGTTATTATTATTAGCTCCTGTTTTCTGGTGGTAGCCACTATTAGCTTTACAATTTACTCAAAATGAATAAGTATATAGAGCCATAGGATGTCTAATTTTATTTTCTTTCAGCTTATTCTTTTAAGTGGTATTCATATTATTTGGTATAGCTGAAGAAAACTTAATTCTAGACTGAAGTAATAAAAATATAGTATTGTGACCATGTGAAATAGTAGTTTCACTTATGGAAATAATGCTCTCAAAATTCTAAGTGCTTCAGAATATCTTTTAGAGATTGCATTTACTCCTGTGCCTAGAACTTATGGAACATTTACAAATGAGAGTAAGTTCAAAGTAGGACAACTTAAATGGGGAAGATTCTAGAACTGTAATTTGGAAAGACAGCGAGTCAACAAAACTGAGGATATTTAATCCAGAGAAGACTGTTAGATTTAAAAGGATACTGAGTTGCTACCTTATATTCCAGAGAGCAGAAAAGGGAAGAAAGTTGTGGAGGTTGGAGGAAAATGATTTTGTCTCACAAGAAAACTTTCTAATACTAGAACCATTTAAGCAGAAAAGTGGGTAGGGTAGCTCTATTCAATTAGTGAGCTTCCCATAAATTCAAGGTATTAAGCAACCTCTGCTTACTTGTCAGATATATTTTTTTTAAAAAGACATTTCTGAATAGGATGGGTGATTAGATAATTAATTAGATAATTCATCTAAAATGCTTTTTATTTGTTTTAATACCATTTTCTGTTCATCTTACTGCTTGACTACTTTGACTCCCTTTTAAGAATTGCTAAAGTTTATTGGCATTTACTATTTACCATCACTTTACTTTTACAGGAAAACACGACATGTGAATATCCTACTCTTCATGGGCTATTCCACAAAGCCACAACTAGCTATTGTTACCCAGTGGTGTGAGGGCTCCAGCTTATATCACCATCTCCACATCATTGAGACCAAATTTGAAATGATCAAACTTATAGATATTGCACGGCAAACTGCACAGGGCATGGAGTAAGTTCCATTCTGTTAAATCTCTTGTAAATTCCTTTTGAAGACAATTGAAGATGTTTTAAAGACTTGATACTTCTTTTGGATTGCATTTTAAATTACTGTTCAGCAGTATAAGGACACTAATGACTAGCAATATGATACAGAAATATAAAGCAGTCTTTCCCTAGTGCAGTCATCAAAACCTACAGTGACGAATACCAATAATTTCATAGTAAATATACAGCTGAGTGTTTCACATTCAGTGATTTAAGTAAGCAGTAGAGACTCAGGGAACAAAAATAGATAAAAAAACTTTTTTAACAATTGTATATATGTATATGTATATGTGTATATACTTATATGTATATGTAATAATTGCTAATTATCCTTTCAAATCATTTTCACTAAGTGCCCAAATTTTTTATTGCAAATAGGTCATTTAATAAGTTAAAATGAAAATCCTCATTCTCATTCTTTTTGAGGTCTTCAGGTTTAGAGAGAGATATATGTATATGTGTATATATGTATGTGTGTGTGTATATATATATATATGTATATATATATAAAATTTTGTGGCATAGTTGAAAATATAGTTAATTTTAAAATTTGCATAGCTTAAAATGGAGAACTGACTTACAAGATAAATTCTGCATATAACTCTTAAGTGCAAATAAATAGGTAAACCAAAAGATAAAATTAAAATTTGAAAACACATGAAATTCAATAAAGTAAACTAAGCATACTTTTAAAATATCCTAATTTAATATTTTGTAGTATACAAATTATTTTCACATGCATAGATTGTCCTTTAATGTTATGAAGTAGATATTTTTATTTTCTTTTTACAAATAAGGAAACAGTCTTTTAAGTGACTTGTATAAGGACACACATTTAATAAATAGCAGAAAAGTTGTTTGACTCAGGATTTCCAATACCAACATTTTTTCCCTAAAAACCACTATGCTTTTTTTTTTATTATAAAATTAGAATAAAAGGATATATGCAGGGGCTGGGTTGTGGCTCATTGGTAGAGTATTTACCTAGCACTAGGTTCAAACCTCAGCACCACATAAAAATGAAATAAAGAGATTGTGTCCATCTACAACTAAAAAATAAATATTAAAAAAAATCACTTATAGAAAGTTGGTGTTGGAGCCAGGACTAAAAACTGGACCTTGTTCTTAAGTATTCCCTCTTCACCACCTTCCCTGGCTCAAAACCAGGTAATATATCTGTAATTTTAGACTGTTTACAAACCTATTTTCAGCCAAAATGCTATACTGCATATTATTACTTTATTTAGAACCGTTCTACTTGTCTACTAAACTTAAAACACTCTCACCCTTTCAGATAAGTTGGAATCTGTATCTGTTCAAATCTAAATTTGAGGAGTAAACCATGGCAAAAACAATAAACATTCAGCAAAAAAAAAAAACAACTTATTTTCTTTCCCCCCACTGATCTCTTTCCTGTTTCTTTAACAGGCCAGGCATGCTCTGTCAGCACATTTGTACTTGTTCTTTTCTATTTAATATACTTATGCTACAAATGTCCTTAAATTCTCTTTTCAAATATCCCTTCTTTTTTTTAAGACATGCCTTCTCAGATCACTTTAGATAAATAACAGGTCCCCCGCCCATCATGTCACTCTCTATTGCCCCTACCCGTTGGTTTGTTTTGTTGTTTAACACCCAATCCTACATGACTTGCTTTTCTCATTGTCTGCCCCCTTCACTAGAATGCAAACTGTATGAGGGCGGGACTTTGTTTTGTTTGTTTCTTTATGCCTAATGCCTGGAATGGGGCCTGGCCTGGAATAGGTACACAATACGTATCTGTGACATGAAGAAATGCATGACTACACACAACTCTTTGTTATTGATAGGTTCGTCTTCCAGAAGAGAGAAAAGCCAAATTCTTCTCATATCAAAACTGAGAAATGTCAAAGAAAATAAATAATAGCCAAAGAAGTAATAAAAGTGAATAATAGAAGGGAAAAGGGTTTATAATATAAAGAGGCAGCAAAATACAGTATTATAAGTTGTTTTTAGTGAGACACAGTTCACACTTCTGTAATCCCAGCTACTTGGGAGGTTGAGACAATAGGATCTCAAGTTCAAGGCCAGCATGTGGAATTTAAAATTTCAAGAGCCTGTCTCAAAATAAATTTAAAAGAAAAATCTAGCAACAGTGAAAGGGCAATGAAGTACCAGTGAAAACAAGTGAAACAAGTGACTGTAGAAAAGAACACTATCATATTGGAATTGTGTAGTGTGGAAAATTGTCAGGGAAAAGGTGATATTTTCCCATCACTTTATGGTTTAAAATTGTGCAGTCTATCTACTGCAAAACACTTTGTTTACATTTTAAAATTGTTCTCATTCTGTAATGAGTGTGCCTCACACACACATTCATTCTCTCTCTCGATCTCTCTCCCCCCCATATATATGTATATATATGTGTGTATATATGTGTGTGTGTGTGTGTATACATATATATATATTAAAAAAATATGTGTACACGCGCGCGCGCACACACACTTTTCCATCAGGTTTATCCTAGATTTTAGTACCTGAAAAAGTACAAATTATAAACTGTAGAACCTCTAGCAGAGTTTACTTTTTATTACAAGCTTAAAATTAACCAAATAAAGTACAGTTTCTCCCCTCCCCCCTTTTTTTTTGTTCCTTTTTATAAGATGGTTATATGCTTCTGGATAAATGTACCAACACATCGTACATTCCTGAAGACTTTGACAGATTGAAAATTCTCCTATTACAGTGGCTTTGTGGGAACTGGATTTGTAGATCAATGTTAAAGCACTCACCTAGCACGTGTGAGGCCCTGGGTTTGATCCTCGGCACCACATAAAAACAAGTAAATAAAATAAAGGCATTGTGTCCAATTACACCTAAAAAATAAATATTAAAAAAAATGGCTTTGTGCCAGGCATGGTAGCACTAACAGTTAAGTCCACTTAACAGTGTACTTTTACAAAGCCCTCATTTCAGAATAGTCTGCCTACTGAATGTTTTCTATGTTCTATTTAAAATTATCTTTTTTGACTGTACACCACATTTCATTCTTAAGTCCCAAGGCATAAGCAAAACAGGAATACCCTAACACATTGCTGGATTGTGGCCACTTAAAAAATAAAATCTTCAATAATTAGAAAAGCAGAACCACTGTGACATTCCAATGGTGTTATCTTTATTGGTGGGCTACAGACTACAAGCAAACAATTAATGGGTGATATTTTTCCTGGGTGATTTTGTCTTTTTTTTACAAAAAGTACTTCAGAGACAGGAAAGAATATCCTAGGGTCACTTGAACAAAGCCATTCTTACAATTGTTAATTATAGATTAACTCTATATTTAGGAGTCAAAATTTATCCGGTCTGTTTTATCATCTTCTCACCTGCCAGTCATTGATTCAGGCTAAGGACCAAGTTATTTTGAGAATATTGTCATTAAAGAAATTTCAGGTATGGTCACTACATCAGGCCATTTCTTTGTAGGACTTATAATTTCAGAGGGTATAGTTTTTAATTTAGCTTTACTAGAAAATGTACTAAATGTTAAATCAGGGAAGCACATAGAGAAAGTCATGGCCTGGTGGTAATGCTCACAGAAGCATTATACTCTGAAAATAAGATGATTAAAAAGAATTTTGAGATAAACTGCAACTGGCTTTTTTAAACAATGAAGAGTATGCCTCCTTTATTCATAAATAAACCTCATGAAAGGAAGATAAAAGGTGAATTTTAATTGAAAAGATGATGAACTTGTAAGAGTAATTGAATTCTAATTAGTCAAAGAATACTTAGAGTAAAAATGATTTTTGGATAAGAGGATGCTGATAATAAGGAAAATGCAAGGTAAAACAAAAAGGCATTGTTTTCACCTGCTAGAATTAGCAGAATGCCTGAATTTTGACAAGATCAAATGTTCATAAAAATTAGGGAAATTGATCACTGGGACATTCTGAATGGGACAAACCACACTGAGGGCATATCTGTAAGAACAGAAAAATGCTTGTTATATCTCCAGAAACACTAGTTTTTGTTCTAAGAGATGTGTTCTGGAAGAGATGTAATAATTTCATATTGTTAAAATCGTTTGTGTTAGTAGAAGAACAGTAAATAAATATTGGCACATATATATAGTGGAATAACAGTTAAAAGAAATGAACAGTTAAAAGCGATACAATATAAAGTTAATTGAGAAAAGTAGCAGCTGCACAAAACCACTTAAATTTTTTAAACAGCATTTTTTTAATTTTTGGATTTTTTTTGAAAATGGTGCACACCTATGTATAAAAAAAATAAAATAAAAGTGTTGAAATAAGAATTAACACATACCAGTTCAGCAGTGGTTGCCTCCAGGAATGACAAAAAGGGATCAGGATGGGGGCAGCTATCACGGAGAAATAGCACTAATTGTTTCTTCCTTTTAATAACAAAAAAGATTTTATAGTTAAATTTTACTTTTATAACTTTTTTATAAGTATAGACTTTGAAAAATGATTAGCAATAAATCATTAAATGATATGGTGAAACTATGAATGATTCATATATTATACAATTTTTAATTTCAAGGCAAATTTTATTACAAGGAACTATAAAAACATTACAAAAATTTCAGAGAATATAAATACAAAGTATCAGTAAACTATCATCAAGAGATATCTTTAATACATTGATGTATGTTATGTATCCTTTCATTAATTGTGTATTATAATACTCTACACTGTGGTTTTGTTATTGGTTTTTAAGTATGGAATAATACTGGGTTTGCCTTCTTCAATCACTCTTATTTTGAACCTCTTTACTAGTTAGTAAATATTATGTTCTGATCACAGTGTTCTACATACTACTAACTCACTATTTCCTTCTTTTTTTTTTTAATACGAAGTATGTTCTCCAGTTTTAAACATACACACAGACATGGCCAGGCACAGTGGCACACGCCTGTAATCCCAGCGGCTCCAGAGGCTGAGGCAGGAGGATCTCGAGTTCAAA